AATTGTAACAAACAAGTTCATTCTCTCTATATAGTGTAAACTTTACCGTTAATTCGTATTAGTAATCCTGGAACAACCTACCCAAATATTTACAGCTCACATTTTTGTTTATTTCTTTTTTTTCAAATTTATAATATATCCAAATTCATATTTCAAAATTGTCCTTCCATATTATCTTTCTTTAATTTCTTTTTATCATGTAGAGTTACGCTATTTTGAGAGAACAAGACAATGTACGATTTACTGTTGGCCGTAATTAATTAGCGATAATTAATTCGTTCAATTATGTAAATCACACTTCACCAGAGTACACCCGATAGACCGGACGCAATTCATAGCGCTCCGGATTTCTTTGTTCACAACTGTCTATAAACTCAAAATTAAACATGTAACATTGTAAATATTTAGTGTTTGGTAGTTTAGTAGTAGTGCTAGTTGTTTTTGCTTCTCTATTTCCTTTGTTTTTATGACTTCTTAACTTTTTTCTTTGTCCTGAGGAAGGGACAGGTTGTCCCGAAAATTTGACAATTATTATTGTTCGTGTCGTTGGTCATTTTTAGTGCTTTATATAAATTTCCATCCGTGACCTTGTATCTACTTAGTAGATCCGACACTTAGGATATACAGTGTTGTTGGTTTTTAGTGCTTTATATATATATATATATATATATATATATATATATATATATATATATATATATATATATATATATATATATATATATATACGTCAGTCTGTCTGTACGTCCGTCCGCCCGTCTGTAACGCTTTTGGGTACACATATCTTATCTGCAACTCTTATACCACTGAACAAAATTTAATGATACTTTCACAGAATCTTTGTTACATAGTTCCATTGTGCACCTCCTAATTTACTTTTTGATGAGACATATATTTTGGGTTTCAAGTAGCAAGACATAGACACTGCCATTTTTCAATAATATTGAGGGGTACCCATCTCTTATCCGCAATTCCTCCTATACCACTGAATAAAATTAAGTGATACTTTCACAGACTCTTTGTTAAATGGTGCCATTGTGCACTCCTATTTTACTCTTTGATCTGACACATATTTCGGTTTTCCAACAGCACAACATAGAACACTGCCATTCTTTCTATAACATTGAGGGGTACCCATCTCTTATCCGCAATTCCTCCTATCCACTGAATAAAATTTAATGATACTTTCACAGAATCTTTATTGCATAGAGCCATTGTGACCTCCTATTTTACTTTTTGATCGGACTCTCATTTGGGATGTCCCATAGCAAAACATGGACTTTGCCATTATAAACATTTGGGAAACGGGGGTATCATTTTGTGAGCTCAATACTCACAGTTCCTCTAGTTTCTATAATATTGAGGAGAACTCGTCTCTCATCCGCAACTCCTCCTATTCCACTGAATAAAATTTAATGATTGATACTTTCACAGAATCTTTATTACACAGTGCCATTATGCACCTTCTAGTTTACTTTTTGATCGGAAACTTATTTCGGGTCTCCCATTGCAAAACATGGACTTTGCCATTATAATCATATGGGAGGCGGGGTATCATTTTGTGAGTTTAGTGCTCACAGTATCTTTTAAAGTAGGGAAGCCGGTTGAATACAGTACCCGCAAGAGGTTCTTATTGATTAATCGTAAATGCATATTTCTCGATTTTTAAAAGATCTCTATGTATTTATATTATTCTGTTTGACCAGAACACTTTATAAATTTCAATTTTAATTCCAATAGGCAAGAAAAAAATAAGAAAACCATTAAACATGGCTTTCTTCTTTAAATCCAATCATTTCTTTCAACTGAAAATAGAATGAACTTAGTCCAGAGGAACTGTGAGAACAGAGCTCAAAAATGATAACCAACCAACCCCCCAACCCCCGCCTCCCATATGTTTATACATGTAATAGCAAAGTCCATGTTTTGCTATGGGAGATCTGAAATAAGAATAAGTGTCCGATCACAAAATATAAGTGAAAGTAATATTAAATCTTATTGAGTGGTATAGAAGGAGTTGCGGATAAGAGATGGGTACCCCTTTATATTACAGAAAGAATGACAGTGTTCTATGTTGTGCTATTGGAAACCCGAAATATGAGTCCGATCATAAAGTAAAATAGGAGGTGCACAATGGCACTATGTTATAAAGATTCTGTGATGAAAGTATCATTCAATTTTATTCAGTGGTATAAGGGTAGTTGCGGATAAGAGATGTGTAACCCAAAGAGTAACAGACGGACGGACAACCACATCACTATACACCCCCGCTTTTCAAGCGAGGGGTACATGTATAACAACAGAACACTATTTGGAATTGGCAAAGACACACAGCAGCTTTATTATATTGTTCAAATAAAAAAAGATCATTATATTAAATTGAGTTCTTTAATCCAACCTCATGAAATATTCATGATGTTGGATTAAAGAACTCGATTTTAATAGCCTTCTATGAAAAATTTGAAATTTTATTGTGCTGTATGTCTCCAAAACTGGTATTTAAACAATTATTCACCTCATATATAGCCTTTCGTACGAACCACTTCTAAAGACACAGGTTTTCGAATGAAAATTACGAATATGTAATTTACTGTAACACCAAGCAGGGATCGATTTCTGTCGTATTCACATGGGCTATCAGAGACAATGAAAATTTTTCGGATCAAATGACAGATATGTACATTCTGCATTCTCACCATAATGATAACTAAGAATGGACGTTAACGTAATCACTTAATCTAAAATGCTTGTTTAATATTTTTCAAATTTAACTATCAATTTGATAGATAACTTCAAAGGGTAGACAGGATAACAATATACAGGAACACATTAAAATCATTCCGCAATATATTCAACGGTGATCTATCTACCGTAACAAAAAATGCAATGTACTATGCTTTACCATAGTTTACTATAGTTAACTACAGTTTTCAATAGTATCAACGTTTTTACTTCTGTAGATCAAAGTTTTTAGTATAGCAAATTAAAGTTTTTTTTTACTATAGTAAATCAAATTGTTTTTACTATGGATTTTAAATGATTTTAGTGTTATTCTTTTGATGTTCCCCAATTCATGCCTGCACATTTTTGATATCAAAATATGACTTGTACATTCACATATTACTTCAATATTTTACATAATTGGTATTGAAGTTAGGAGATTTTAAGCTTCGTAATCTAAAAAAAGAAAAAATCGAAAGTAAAGTTTCATAGTAATTGAAAGTATCAAAGAATATACTATTGTCAACTTTAGTTCACTATAGTTAACTATTGTACACTGTAAATTTTTGTTAGGATAATGTCATTAAAATATACAGGACAAGATTAGTAACGACGTGGTGTAAAGACGACGGTGATTAAAACTTATCAAACTGACCTATTACTCCAACAATCCAAATCTAGATTTACAGATTTCCAGAATAGCCTATCAACGTTTAGAATTTTTTCTAAAATGAATTCTAAGGACACTGCATTCAAATTTACACTTATCTTATTTTTTCCGACTTATCGTTACAGATCTATCGTTGCGACAAAATAATCGGTTACAAATTGCAATCCATAATTTAAAGAAAAATTACAGTTACTGTAGTTTTATTATAATTGCAGTTCTTCAACTTGTAAGGGGAAAAAAAACTATACTTATTAATCCTTAACGTTAAGTGTATGGTCATAAAATATGAATAATGCACAGTAAATTCACAGTAAAAATGTTGTTATACCAACTTAAACCGAGTAAAATGCAATATCTTGTTGTACATGCAATGGTCTTTAATTGATTCACCTTCCATTTAAAATGGTTGATGATAAGAAGAGGCTTTTCAATGAAAAGCTCTTTACTTGGTATCAAAATGATATTTCTGACCAACTTTGATCGCAAAAAGAAATATTGGTGTAATCCTACACCAAATTTTTATTTAATGAATGTTTAAGATATCCCTTTTTAAGATATGGTCTCAACTTTGAACGACCGATACTAATTCTGAATTATTTCTTATGATTTTTTTTTTTTGCATTTTTTCAGAGAAAATGTAAAAATTGTTTTATTTGAAATAAAATACATACTGATACGCTGTTTTCATTTTCTGAAATCAGTTGTCTAAACCACAACATACTATAACTGTGTGAAATTGTCATCAGTTAATTTTATAAATATTTTTATATTAAAAAAATAAAATCGTTAACTGTCTTTTCTTCACACATTTTATTAGATACTCGTACTATGCTACTATGCAATCATTAACAGCAAAACCCTGGAGAGTATTATTTGCAAATAAAACTATTTCTATATTGTCTCTGGAAAAATGCCAAAAAAATCTTATAAAATACATATAATGAAATGCGACTAATGTCAGTTTTTCAATGATGAAACCTTTGAAGTTTAAAGCATTCGTCCTTAAATGGAATTTTAGAAAGACTGTGCACAGAATATTGCCCACAATCGGAAATTAATCTATGACGAATGTCAGCTTTGTAGAAAAAAAATTTATAAAGTGCTGTTTTAAAAGTATGCTTACTAGTATCTGTACACTCATTGAATATTTTAAAAGATATGTATAGTCATTCTGCTTAGTTTTGTAAAAGTTGTAAAATTGGCTAAATTTTTCAGTAAATACATGAATTTCCTTGTCTATTTATTAATTACTTGTATTTCCTAAAACAGCCAGTAAAAACATGTATTTACTGAACGATTTAGGAAATACATGAAATTCCTGATATCGCAAATTTACTGTAACACACACACGCCATATATATATATATATATATATATATATATATATATATATATATATATATATATATATATATATATATATATATATATATATATATATATATATATACTTATGGCTTCTTAATTGCAAAACTTAATACAATTCCTCATACTTTGGATCGCGTTTATACAAAATATACATATCACATTAACCTTTATTCTTAAACAGAAGGATTGCAATACAATACTTGTACCCTTAATTCAATCAAACAAAATGTTTCTGTTTTAGGCTTATAAAAACGCCTCTCTTAGCTGGCTTGGGGTATGCCAGGAAGATTCTGATGGTGATGGTCTGACAAACGGACAGGAATTAGGGGACCCGAATTGTCAGTTCACCCCAAGAACACCAGGCACAGCAACACCAATAGCAAGCATAGGCACCCCAATAGGACATCCAGGTCTCTCTCTCTCTCTCTCTCTCTCTCTCTCTCTCTCTCTCTCTCTCTGTATGTGTGTGTGTAATTGCATCATCATATGATCATGATTGTATTTCCAATTGTTATTTATTTATTATTTTGTAGGAATATGTGACAACAGCCAATCTGATATGCCAAACTGCATAGCTCCAATGAGTGAGATTTGCCCTAGAGCACCCCCAGTAGCATCTTTACCAGTCGTGTAAATTTGATCACAGAAAGAGGGCAGAATGAGATAAAGGAATGACAGTGTTTTTATCTGTATAAAGACGCGTTAAATTCTTGTTAATGTTGTGTAATTTAGTTAAATAAATATTCTGGATTATACATACTGGATTACACATAATAAAAAAAACAGAATTTTTATTAAGAATGTATACATTGAAACGTTGTATTTACGTTGAAGTTTAAGGTCGAGATTTTATTGTAATAGAATTATTATCAATAAATAACTTTATAAAAATCCAAACATAACCTAATTATTTTTTAAGACATTTAACAGAGCTTTCTATAGCACTTTCCAATGGCTTAGCTTTATCACAATTAATCCCCCTAGCAAGGGGGGCGCCACTATGCTTCCGCGGACTATCTTAGTTTCAATATCAAGTAAATATGTAGACGATGCTGATATTGATAGTTACAAAGTTCCTGAATTGAAATCATACCAGATCTTCCAACAATCTGTTGGAATTCCCATGGGTACCAATTGCACCCCTTATTAGCAGACTTTTTTTGTATTCATATGAAGCAGAATTTATTCAAAAACCTCTACATGAGAAGAAGAAAACACTTGCTGTGGCCTTCAACTCGACATTTCGATATATCGACGACGCATTATCAATTAACAATGGTTACTTTCATTCATATGTGACTCGATATATCCCAGTGAGCTTGAAATAAAAGATACCATAGATTCTGACACATCTGTTTCATATTAAGATATTTTACTAGAAAAAGACGTAAATGGTAACCCAACAACAAAGTTTTATGATAAACGTGATGACTTCAACTTTTCAATCGTCAACTTCCCTTACTTACATGTATGCTGCAATATACCTTAATCACCTGCATATGGGATTTATGTCTCTCAGTTGAATCGATACGCAAGAGCATGCTCTACGTATGAAAAATTTCTAAAACGAGGTAAGCTATTGACAAACAAGTTATCGAAACAAGGATATCAACAGTCTCGTTTGAAGTAATTTTTCCGCAAGTTTTTCGGTCGATACAATGAGCTTGTCAGTATATACAGCCTATCACTGAGTCAAATGCTGACTAACGTTTTTCATGCTAATTTTTAGGTCATTATTTATACACTGAACTGTCTACGGATCATGACAAGGAGCACACGGCGGGTGTGACGGTCGGCAGGGGATGCTCACTCCTCCATGGCACCTGATCCCACCTCTAAATTTTGAGGTCCGTGTTTGCTCTGCTCCAAATTTGTATCGTTTTATTGGACTTTCGAAATTGAATACTGTTCGTTATCTTCATATTTCATCTGAGAAAGTATGGACAAAATGTAAGTGGGAGAAAAAAAGGACTTCCTATATCATCATGTCAGTGACGAATGTTCACACTGTTTTATCAAATGTAAAATTATTCCTCCCTTAGCAAGTAGCAAGAAGAAGGAGACCCCAGACTATGAGGTCTGGGCAGTGCTGTTCAAAGTCACAGGAAACGTACATTCCGCTGATTGTATTTGCACAACAGGGTATGCATACCTTGTTAATCCATGAATATGTTGATGTAGATGCATGTAATTGATGATAGATCATTCCCTTGTTTTTAAGCGAAAAATTAATTTTTAAAGATGAAATAGGTGCTGAAATCTTTTTGATACGCAACTTTGTATTATGAAAGTAGAACAGATGAACCGGTAAGAAGGATATCCAGGGTATATCTGTGTTCGACATACCAAATGTATCATGACTCATAAGATCTCTCATCTGATGATGCAGTGTTAATATTCCAGGATTATTATTCAAAGTTTAAAATTTCATTGGAAGAAGGTAATGCAATTGAGAGAAACGCTCGGGGTCAAACTAGAAATAGCTAATGGAATTTTCAAAGATCTGAAAAATTATAAGCTCAATTTTTTGACGTGTTTTTATTGCAAGGCTAGGTGGGTGGTAAAAAGGCTGTTTCAGTACAAAAATTTTAATAAAAATATCATAGAAACTAGGAGAATATATGAAAATATCCAGAATACAGCGGGTGTTGAATGAAGGAGGTTTTGTGCAGCAATGTGGATGATTTATAAATCCAGCTTAGTATCCTCATCTACATGTAGGTGCAAGTCCAGATAGACTAGTCTTGACCCCCCCCCCAAAAAAAAAAAAACACCACTGACCCCCAAGGTATTTTGGAGATAAAGTGTCCAACACCATAATCATGAAAAACTTCGACTCCCAGGAAATATGCACAATTGAATATAATACTGGTGCACTGATTCTGAAACTGATCATCTAATTATTATCAAATACAGTGTATACTGGTCATTACTGAAAGGCAATGGTATGATTTTGCTGTTTGGACAGTCAATAAAACAGCCTTTATCAGTTAATAGAATTTTATTTGAAAAAGAATTTGGGTATAGGTATGCTTACAAAGTTGAACAAGTACTATATTCAGGCTGTTTTACCAGAACTGTTTACAACACCATGTGCGCAGAGGTATCTCTGTGTAAAAAATCGTTTTCTTAGCAATATGATCTGCATCTATGAAAGAATTGTGGACATGAAAAAGGTAGATTTTTTTTTATAATGGAGAAATATTGTTTTAGAGTGAATAAAAAGATTGATGTACATTTATGTTTTCAAATAATATAAGGGCGAATAAAATTTTCATACTACATATATGAACTGTATGCAACTTTTATGTGTACGTAAATCTTGTTAAATTTTTGATTTTGTTCGAATGGCATCACTCAGTAAATGTTGATGTCAACTGTGATTGAAAATCTTCATAAAATTATATATATATATATTAAATTGCAGCTAGATGTCATCGTATTTAAATATCCAAGTTCATAGCTTCAATTTTGTTGTGTTAATATCTGTGTTTGTAGATTGTTTTTTTTTAGACCAATCACTGCTCCTTATCTTCACCTGTTTCATTTCAATGAAAGCGGCAAATTTGTCGATAAAAATTATCTTGAAAAAATGCAAAAATGTTTTTTCCCCAAAAAATTTCATAATTCTCTAATTTTAATCGATATTGAGATTATTCATTGACATTGAATATACCGAAGAACTTGCTTATACGGAAGTGCTGAGATGCTGCATCCCAGTGAAGAGAACCTTTATAGTTTTTTGAACATGTCATTGGTTTTTATCTTAATATTTGATTTATTCCTTAACCATGTAAAAATATCCCTGTTAAGACCATGGATTATTAACTGGCAAGACTGGAAATATTCAGCTTAGTCGTTTCCATCTTTTAGCGTCAAAACAATTGATGATAGACAATGCCATGGGCGGGTACGAATTGTCGCGGTAGTCTGTGAAAACACTGGATTGAAATTCTAGTTTAAAACTCATGTTCAATCCACCTCAGCAACAATGTAACCACAGTGTTACTGATTGATCCACAAGACAAATAATTTCAATTTCGGAATAGTTTGAAAATATCAATCAGAATTTTCTGTCCAGTATTTTTTTTTTTTTTTTTTTTTTTTTTTTTAGGAAATAGCAGGGAGTCGACAATTTGATTCCTGATTTTATTTCTTTGTGTGTGTGTGTGTGAAAGGGGGGGGCTTGGAAATAAATAAGAAAGTTTTGAGTTTGGACACTCCCCCTCCCCGTTTTTCCTTGTCAAACATCTATCAGTAAAGAAGAAAATGAATTATATCTTTTGTTATCCTAGAAATAAATATATTCTGTTATGTGAAGGCATGTACATAAATAATCTGACTCGACAAAATATTAATTTCAAACTATATATACATGTGGGAATTGAAATTATTTGTTTTTTTTTTTTTTTAATCATTCTTTAACATTTTGCATATGAAAATACCTCAAGTGGATTGAAAATGAATTTCGAACTAGAATTTCAATCGAATGGTTTTTCTGAGACGTACAAATGTACCCGACAATTTCAATGTCTATCATCAAATGTTTTTGACTATAACAGACGGAAATGCCGTAAACTGCATATTTCAAATCTTGCCTGTAAATGTTCCATGGCCTTGTATACAGCTGTAGAAAGGATATTTACGCCATACAAGACCTTATAAAGTTTACCAGTTTTGAATACAACATTGCTTTTATGGCAAATAACTTCATTCAGAGAAGAATTTATCTGGGTGAAATCCCAAGCACTTGACACTACCTAATTTTCTTATTAAAGCAAACATGTAACCCCATACCTAATTATTAGGTTTGTGGTTATATTTGTTTTTGATAAGAAAATATGTAACGTCAAGTGCCTGTGGGTGAACTTCATTATTTACCTTGTATCAAGTGCAGACACGTGGTTTTTGGTTTTAAATTTCTGCATTAAATAAAAGGAACATCCTTCGTATTTCGTTAAAAAGGAGATAAGCGGCCTTGACACAAAATCGGACTACATCTTAACCAGTTGTTAACAGTAAAACGATGTTTAAGTTAGATAACAACGTAGATAAAATGGACCCTAGATTAATGGATAATACCCCAGGATAACACCCCCGGAAATCATGGAAACAAACATCAAGTTTTTATTAGTATGGATCCTTCTTGCCATAGATATTGTGACAGTGCAAGCAGGTATGGGAATTTTATCATGTTTATATTGATCCCCTATGTTCATGTACTATGTAAAATATGGATATATGTAACAAAGCATCGTTAAATATACCAATACCAGTATAGGCAGTAATTGGATAGCAAAAAATTTCACAACTTTTCGTCGGTGAAACCGGAATAGAAATGTTCTATTTCAGATTATAGAGTTTTGCACGGGGAACACCATCCCGAAGCGGCAAATTCAAATTAACAAATCTATAGTACAATACAAAACATTTATTTAATGTAGTTTAAGATTGATGTATAGTCAGTTTTGAATTATCCGAAATCAAAATTTAATGTAAAAAGTATTATTAACTTTTTTAAACCTACAGTTGTTTCTCTCTATTCCTAGAATAAATTCAATTGCATTTTTATTAGAGCCAGGAAAGCTTTCTTTTGCATCCTACTTTAATAATGGTATGGTGCTACAAAAAGCTCCCCAGTCTGCCCAGGTCTGGGGGTACTGCTCCAAACCGGGACAAAACGTCACTGTTACTGTCAACGGACAACAACATGTAAGGGCATTTTCTGTGAACTATCCGAACGTACACGGCGGGGTGTGGACAGTCTCGCTATCCCCTCAGGAAGGTCCTGAACCAGTCACTATTGAGGCAACAGACGGACAAAACAAAATCAATCTGACTGATGTTCTGTTTGGAGATGTTTGGATTTGCTCTGGTCAAAGTAACATGGAATTCACGTTAGATATGGTGAGCGAAAATGTTGTTCTAAGTAAAATCAACAAGTTCTATGTATACATGTACATGAGTTTCCTCCACTCAATTTGAACTTACGCTGAGTGAGGTACCCAGTAATGATTAACATTAATACATCAAAATAGTTTATTCCAAACATGGTTCATTTCTTTCATTTCTTTTTTCTCCTTTTTTAATTACATTGTATTTTTTCACATTTTACCAAAAATGTTCTACATGAACTATTCGCAAGATTTGATCAAGTTTTTACGATATCTAAAGACTATTTAGAAAACAACTACATGTTTAAGAACTTGATATTTGGCATATTCATTTTCACTTTTCTTTTTAATAAATATACAACTTCTTCACAGAAAACGTGCCTGTTTATAAAAATAGAGGGTTAAATGTTTTAAATGTTTAATAAGAAAAATATGTAACTTTAAGTGCCTGTGTTAAAAAGGCATTTGTTGACAATGTTTTGTAAATAAACAATTTTTAAGGCCTCAGAAGTATAAGTAGACTGATCCTCATGTTCTGAAAATCAGGAGTTGAGTAATTGCAAATACTCACAAAAATGTCTCTGAATTCTCAAAAAATGTGTATTTACACATGGCATTTCTTTAAAGTTTATTATTATTGTTATTATTAAATAAGGAAAATTTCAAATTTCAAGTATGTTTTCAGGAAACGCTTGCCAATGCAATTAATTTAGATAAATTAAAGTCTAGGTTTTTTGACATCAGAGAATCTGCTTTTTCAATAAAAATGGAACTCCTAAATTTACTTACTAGTCTTCCAACAATCTGTTCGAATTCCGATGGGTTCTTATCCCCCCCCCCCCCCGGTTATAAACAAACCTATTGTTGTATTCAAATGAAGCAGTATTTATGCAAAAACTTCTATATGAGCTTCCCTTATATACAATGATGCGCAAAATTGTAAAATTTTCCGTTTGAATGGATTGTTTTGAGCTTAAATAATGACACATGCCCCATCTCTTCAGAAAGGAACAAGATGTGTTTGTGAAACACTGATGCTCCTGTATGGCAGCTTGTGGCGAAGGTTAAAGTTTCTCAAATGCAAGTCAAACTCCATCTTGTCACAAGTGATACACATGATCCGGAAATGTGAAAGCCCTAGAACCAAACGTTCAAATGTTATAGCCAGTGTTAAAGTTTTTCAAAGGTAGGTCAAACTCCAAGATCAAAGGGATAAAGTTGTTGGTATCTAAAGTAAGGTCTTGTCACAAGGAATGCATATGTGAAGTATGAAAGCCCTAACACCAACTGTTCAAAAATTATGGCCAAGGTTTAAATTTTTTCAAGAGCAGGTCAAACTCCAAGATCAAGGTCAAAGGGTCAAAGTTGTTGGTATCTAAAGGAAGGTCCTGTCACAAGGAATGCATATGTGACATATGAAAGCCCTAGCACCAACTGTTTAAAAGTTATGGCCAAGGTTAAAGTTTTTTCAACAGTAGGTCAAACTCCAAGTTCAGGATCAAAAGGTCAAAGTTGTTGGCATCGAAAGAAAGGGCTTGTCACAAGAAATACACATGTGAAATATGAAAGCCCTATACAAACTGTTCAAAAGTTATGGGTAAGGATTAAGTATTTTCAGCAGTAGGTCAAAATCCAAGGTCAAAGGGTCAAAGTTGTTGGTGTCCAAAGGAAGGTCTTGTCACAAGGAATACCCATGTGAAGCTTGAAAGCCCAAGTACCAACTGTTCAAAAGTTATGGCCAAGGTTAAAGTCTCATAAAATTTTTGAAAAAGGGGGTCAAACTCCAAGGTCAAGGTCAAAAGAACAAATATGATGGTACCCAAAAAAAGATCTTATTACAAGGAATACACATGTAAAATATGAAAGCCATAGCTTCAACCAGTCAAAAGTTATGGGCAAGGTTAAAGTTTTTGCGGACAAACAGACAGCTAGACAGATAGACAGACAGACGGACGGACAGGGCAAAAACTATATGCCCTAGAATCTTCGATTACGGGGGCATAAAAAGCCGTCACATTTGAATTACTTAGTACGTCTTTGATATACTGTATACAATAGCCAATCAGATTGGCAGTTTACATAAACACTGAGTAAACACGTGTTCGATCGATGCATGTGTTGTAATAACTTGAACAGGCATGATATATTCATAATTTTGTACATATTAGTTGAATACGTGAGTTTTGCTGAATCGAAGATTCTCTCACTCTCTCCTTACTTCATAAAATCCTCATTTCATCAAAGTTCGCGTTGCTAGTCGCAGAGAGATGGGTGTCTCAAAACATTGCAGCGAATATTGCTTTCTCCTTTGTAAAGAAATGAGCATGTCATTACGTAATAATTGCCGTTCGATAAGAAAGACCCAAACGTTTCATTCAAACGTAAAATTTTACCACTTGAATGTACATCATTGTATGTAGCAATATAAAATGATCACCTGCATATAGGATTTATGCCTCCCAGTTGATTGGCATCTACATATATTCTAAAACGAAGCAAGATACTGACAAAAAAGTTGATGATACAAGGATATCAACAGTCTCGTTTAAATTCAAAATTTTGCAAATTCTATGGTCGATACACTAACAGTGACCTTGTTAGCAAATACAGCCCATCTCTAAATCGAATATTGACTAACTTTTTTCTTACAAATTGTTAGGTCATTATTTTAACACTGAATTGTCTACGGATTTTTCCGTTTGCCCGATCATGACAAACAGCTCACGGCGGGTGTGACCAGTCGACAGGGGATGATTACTCCTCCATGGCAACTGATCACAAAACGATTTTTAGGTCCCTGTTTGATCTGCTTCCAATATGTATTGTTCCAATGGACGTTTGAGCTTAGTTACTGTTCCTTATCTTTATATTTCATAAAGTAATTTCATTGCCCCCCACCCCCTCAATAATTTTGCCGATCTATAGTATACTTACCATACTATAGAAAACAAAGCTACCTAAGAGATGTGTTCCTTCACCAATATTGTTTTTGTTTGTCAAGATATTTTTGCTTGGTGGTATCCCTAAAGTGAAAATGTTTAGTTGTGCCCAAACCCCCAAACTGAAATTGCTCCCTACGGGCCTGAACCCGGTCTACTCATCCATCAGTCACCGGGCTTATATAGGCTATACCTGCCGCCCAATCCATTTATGTTTCAGTACATAATAAAATATGTTCAAATCAAATTAGTCACACTATCTTTGAGGCAGTAGCCAATTTGTCTATTGGAGTATGATTGGAGGTGTCCTGTAGCTGTACAATTATAAGATTTCTGAGTTTTCATCTTCATCCGGGGGGCAATTTAGGGCCGAAAAACTTTTTTCTTGAAATAATATGGTTTCCAGAACTCCTTCAACACTTTACGAAATAGTTATATTATCTTTTAGAATATGATTTGTGGTGCAATACGCTTTTGGAATTTTTATACGAAACGCTGATTAGTGCCGAAAAACACAAACCAAAACTCCCCTCATATTTTAAGCAATATGAAATATATGAATCATATTTTGGAATATGATTGAGGATGCCCAGTCCACTGTAGATGTGCAATATGGTTCCCCTAAAATGAAAGATGAAGATAACAAACAGTATTCAATCTCGAAAGTCCAATGAAACGATACAAATTTGGAGAAGAGCAAACACGGACCTCAAAATTTAGAGGTGGGATCAGGTGCCATGGAGGAGTGAGCATCCGCTTCCGACCGGTCATACCCGCCGTGTACTCCTTGTCATGATCGGGAAAAAACCGGAAATATCCGTAGACAGTTCAGTGTATAAATAATGGCCTAACAATTATAGTATGAAAAACGTCAGTCACCATTTGACTCAATGATAGGTTGTATGTGCTGACAAGGTCATTGTATCGACCGCAAAACTTGCGAAATGATGACTTCAAACGAGACTGTTGATATCCTTGTTTCATCAACTTGTTTTTCAAAAGCTTGCCTCGTTTTAGAAATTGTTCATACGTAGAGCATGCTCTTGCTTATCGAATCAACTGAGAGACATAAACCCCATATGCAGGTGATAAGGGTATATTGCTACATAAGCAAGGGAAGTTGACGATTGAAAAGTTGAAGTCATCACGTTTATCAGAAAGCTTTGTTGTTAGGTTACCATTAACGTCTTTTTCTACATAGTAAAATATCTAAATATGAAACAGATGTTTCAGAATCTGAGGTATCTTTTATTTCAAGCTCACTGGGATATATTGAGTCGACATATGAACGAAAGTAACTATTGTTAATTGATAGTACGTCGTCGTAAAAACATCTTTCTAAAACTCTTTTATAACAGAATTTCTGGTTCATTTAAATTTTTTACATAATGATTTATGAAATGAAATACTTACATAAGTGACTCATGGGCCACATGCTCACCTGAGCAGTTTTTGTTCAATTTGATACATACATATAACTGTAAATTATAGAATAACCATTGTGGCTTCCTAATAAACCAGATGAGTAGAAGAGTGCAAACGCTTGTGGTTATGACAGCATCTGTATTTCTTTCTTCAAAGAGTTTGAGTTATTTACTTGTTGGTGTAGATATCGTGAATTAAGCAATACTTTACTCTGACAGATTTTATTTTAAATGACAGGCATTAAATGCGTCATACGAATTAGCAGATACTACAAATTATCAGAATATACGGGTTTTCACAGCCACAAAGAGAACGTCCTCAAATCCAGAATTAGATTTACTCCAAATTGACGAGCCATGGTCTAAACCTTCCAAAGGTAAAGTATATGCAAATTAGACCTTTAATTCACTAATCTTATGAAATTTTACATGTACAATGTTTTTATGAAATTATTTGTATTCTAAAATCTCTCTCTCTCTCTCTCTCTCTCTCTCTCTCTCTCTCTCTCTCTCTCTCCTGACAATAATTATATGTATTTTAGACAGCTTGGGACATAAGCCATGGACGTATTTCTCCGCTGTGTGTTGGTTATATGGTAAATACATATACCAAAAACTGAAATACCCTGTTGGGCTCGTTGCTTCGTCATGGGGAGGAACCGCTATTGAGCTCTGGTCATCACCTGATGCACTCAAGCTCTGTAATACCCCAAACAAGGTGAAAAGGTTGGTTAATATACTAGCACCTTATCCTTATATCAACTAATTTAGATATTTTCAGAAAACTTTTCGGCCCCTAAAGTTTGTTAATATGTATTTTTATGTGATGCACATTTTTTTTTATTTTTTTTTTTAAAGTTTATTTAACTTTGCTCATATTCTGAGTTACGGATCATTTCATTTTAATGATAGGCAAAGATACATATATAACTTCATTTTTGGTTTCTCTGATTTTAGCTTGTTTGAAATTTTCAAGTCTAACTACCTCTTATTTTAAAAGAAAGATATTTTTCAGTCAAAGAAACGCCATTTCAAATTCACAGTTATGGAATGCAATGATGCATCCCTTTACAAAGATGACGATTAAAGGTGCAATCTGGTATCAAGGTTGGTAGCAATGGCCCTCCTTTTTCCCCACATGCAAAATCATACATTATTTGAATGAATTTATGAAGCAAAAGTTAAAAACCTTAATTATAATACTTAATCATGACATACTGAAGTGAAACTTTCATCAATATTTAATTTGAAAAAAGATATACTTTTAAAAGAAACGTTCATAACTATAAATGCATGTACCTGTATTTGTAATACATTCACGCTTGGAATAAAATTCATGATAGTTGTAGATTATTTTTTTGTCTGTTAAATCAACATGTATGTATATGTTCTAGGTGAGGCAAACGCTGGCAAACCAGATAAATACAGCTGTTATTTTCCTACAATGATTGATGACTGGAGAAAGAAATTCAATGCTGCATCAGGAACAGCAGCGAATTTTCCGTTCGGATTTGTTCAGGTAAGTGTCCGGAACTGAAATAATTGCAACTTATATATTTCCAGCTAATACGTATCGTTAATAAAGTCTTGGAAAAATGAAATGTGATTATTCTTTGTTTTGAATGATTTATTGTTTGGCATGTTAGAAGTCATTTTAAAATAGTTATACATGTAGTTTAGTAGACTTCAAAAACTTTTTGTAGAGAATGACAATTTCAAAGGTTATATTTTCATCTATTACATGTAATCATAATTTTTTACATCCCATGCAAAGAAGAAAAAAAGGTTCCCGATTGTCATAATTTTTTTTTTAAATTTCAAATGTAATTTGATGTATTTTTTTTTATTATAATTATAACAATACAAATACACATATACACACAAAACAAAAATACATGTTTATCTTCGTATTTTCATTTATTACATACAATTATAATTTTTTTACGTCCCATGCAAAGAAGGAGAAGAAAGGTTCCCGATTGCCATATCATGATTTTTTTTTATAAAAAGGTCTCAAAGATTTTATGGTGTAATTCATTTTAACTGTTTTATTTTATTATTATCATTTCTGTGAAAAAATTACTTACCAATTAGGGGACAGAAATATGCCACTTAACACAAATGTACACTACCGTCACTTTCAATATAATATATTTTGAATTATTCAATGCTTGAAGGTTGCAAGTTACTGTATTATGAATCGCAGGAACTATGTATGCAAATTTGACGTTTGTAAGTTGTGTGCATATCTTAGGTGGTTTACAGCTAAATTGCCAAAAATGCAAAAAAAATAGCCATTCAATGCTTCAGTGAAATTTTCAGCTCGCCCCCAATCGTAATGATCCCTCAGTGATAACTGGATTCCCGGATATTCGCTGGCACCAAACCGCGGACTATGGATACGTTCCAAACTACAGAATGCAGAATGTGTTCATGTCTGTAGCTATGGATTTACCAGACTACAAGTCACCGTACGGAAGGTAGTAGATCATTATTGTTTAACAGTGCAAGTCCTTAAAGCAGGGGATAATGTACTTGTACTTGTATACCAAACACTATAAATAACGATATATTTAGATACATTTATCTAGATATGATGATGATATAAGATACGCTAGGAAGAATTTGTCAAATTCACTCAGAGGATAAAATCAAAGGAATTTTTGTTCAAAATTGTTGATGTCAATTTTATTTTTAGGTAGAAACTTTATGGTAAAACTTTGAAATAAAAAGCGAAAGGAAGGCATAGCTTTTTTTTTTAAATTAGAAAGATGTGTAATAAATTTATCTTGCTTTAATTTCCCTCCATATATTTCGTTCAAATTCCTTTTGAACAATATATGTTGCCAAATTTTGATTAATTTGGGTTTTTTATAGTCCTGAATTGTTGTCATTAAAATATAAATTTTCATGCATCATAATTCACTATGGATTCATATCATTTTGCTATTTTTATTGTTTTAGTATTCACCCGCGAGACAAAGAGGATGTGTGCCATCGTCTTGCCCTGGCAGGTCTTTCCGTTGCTTATAACATGCAAGTAGGCCCATTCCAGGGACCGAACATCACGGCATTTTACGTGGACATCGGATTTTTTACTGTTGGGTTCGAGTTTGATAATGCAGTGGAAATAGAAGTCAGGTCAAAAACTGGATTTGAGGTAGATTTGAAAATAGAAAAACTTCTTAACAAATGTTCCTATAAAGATCTTCATTTTTTTTTTTTTTTTTTTTTTTTTTTTTTTTTTGAGAGTCAGTAACATGTTACTATAATAGTATCACTCGAGAATCTGATTTTAACTTTTCTTAGACATACGGTAATTATTCCAGTTTTTGTGAGACAATATCCTGGCATTATGCCGCTAAAATATAAAGTTTCCATTAATAATATTTGATATAGAGTACAAAAAATACGTTATTCCATTATAACTTGCAGAGAAAAAAGATTTTAGCAATTAACCTTTTATTTATATTTTAGCTGTGTAATGAAAATTAATATATAATTTCTTTTCTTTTTTAGCTTTGTTGTTCTTCAAATAACCAGTCGAAATGTGACGGAACAGACTCAGTGTGGATGGAAACCCCAATCATAAAGGAGGAACCTCACAAAATAACCGTCTCCTATAATGGTACATGCTCCAACAAATACGTCATGGGATACCGTTACGCCTGGCGAGAATCCCCGTGTCCCTTCAAGATGTGTGCCCTGTATGTAAAGGGCACTGATATTCCATTTTCTCCGATGTTCGGCAAGGGATTAATAAACTCCAAGCACATTAAATTTTATCAGAATAAAATTCCAATATTTGTGAGATGAAGAAAAACGTGAAATATAATTTAACTTTCCCTGAATTCTCATTAATTTAAATAAATTCACTAAATTTGTATAATGTGATGTTCTACTTGTAGCACTAATATACACAGTTACTGAAAAATAGAGTGCATCATAAATTGTACTTTTTTACAGTGATATTTGATTAAATTTAATATGCAAACTGAAACACAAAAATGCCATAGATAACTTTTGCTTATACATGTGTAAGACTTATTCTTTTCCAAAAAGAATATACATGTATTCTATTATTTGTTCTTTTTGAAATTCTAATATTGAAACAATTTTCTGAAGTACAAACTTAAAAAAATGATATTATATAGTGAATTCTTTCATTTAGGATTGATAAATTTGAAGTACTTCATAAGCTGAAAATGAGTGCATAAATCAAAATTTCTTTTCGCCAAGGCAAAGTCACTTGAAGGAATATATTGGAATTACAATGTCTCTCCAAATACAAAACTATCTTTTGTCTCTCTGCCCGACCTGCTTCTTGTACTGTTTCATACATTTGTAATGGATCTCCTACTTGTGTGACCGTGTAAATTTGGACAGTACTAGAATTTCGTCTGGAACAGCACCCGTTGTTTGCAGAACGAACGGGGTGAGGGAATGTTGGCGTAGAGGGTACAAGGTATAGGTAGAGGCGTTGTGTGGCCGTAAGGTAAAAACGATCATAAGTGTGCCGTATACCTGAAGATCCACCAACATGCAATTCCAGAGATAAAACAAATGATGAAGGATTCCGTATTTATAAGATGAGTCTCAACGATGGCAACAGATTACATGAAACAACAAACAGACATATTGAAAATGATCGAGTCGGATCTGACCGAAGTGGCCACCGGACTCAGAGTCCTGACGAAGGAATGTCACTTATATTTCTCGGAATCTGTTCTTTTCACACAGGTAAACACAAGTTTTGAAAACTGTATCCTGGTGGTCAAAAGAGGAAGGTAATGAACGCGTTGTCCATGAATTGTTGAAGTGATGTTGCCCATCGTTGATATGTTTGTCGAACAATTCACGCTTAGCACAGTGGTTCATTTGAGTGGGGGGAGGGGGAACTCGCTTACTGTAGAGCTACGTTCGGAATCTGACCCCTGCAAAATATATGCAGCGGCCCCGGGCGTTGTTTTAACCTTAGGATTCATCCACCATTTGTGACCGTGTAGATTCTTACGGTACATAGATTTCTTCTGGAACTGCATCCGTTGTTTGCAGAACGAACGGGGTGAGGGAATGTTGGCGTAGAGGGTACGAGGTATAGGTAAAGGTGTTGTGTGGCCGTGAAGTAAAAACGATCATAACTGTGCCGTATTCCCGAAGGTCCACCAATATGCAATTCCAGAGATTAAACAAATGATGAAGGATTCCGTATTTATTAGATGAGTCTAAACGATTGCAACAGATTACATGAAACAACAAACAGACATTAATATTATACCTCACGTGCAATGATTCCTAGGTCATTATTGCTGTAAACGGTACTTTTTGGAGTCATTATTGAGTTTAAAAGCCTTCTAACAAGCCAATCAAATTTGAGTATTCTTCATAGAGGTATAATAAATTTAATTAAACACTTAGATTCGTTAAATATATCGTGAGAAATAAAATGTGACAAAAGGAAGAAATTTAAAAGTAAAGTCCAAAATACAGGGTTTTTTCTGGAACAGTGAATTTTACTCTGTGATACTTGGATGGAATGTTGACAAGGGTAAATAATTTAAAACATTTTTGATAAAAGCTTGAAACCAGATACATTTGGAAAATTCTTTTTCGGACCCGTACCATTCATGTCCTCTGAGTTAAGAGTTAAAAAGAAAATGGCCATATATATTAAAATGCAACACACTTTAGATAATGTGTTACTTCATAATGATAATCATAAGCAGGTAATCCTCTACCGAGGATATAAATTTATGCCCCTAAATTCAGACTTCTAGCCATGATACGTTCGTTTGATATAAAAATATATTATTTATATAAAAATATGTTTATCATTTTAACAAGTCCACTGACAACTACTAGTATTTCAGACTTTTTCCAAATACAATTTTGGTATTAACATAGTACTTGCAGAGATAAGCAAGGAAGAAAAATGATAATGAATTAAACTTTTAATTTAATGATACAAGTATCGAAAGAATACACTTCTTATTTTAAAAGAGTTTCCACCCGGCAAAAGACGTTCTTCCATAAGAGTTGCTCTGGATGTAGTCCGACGTACCTAAGGTAAGCGTAGCATGTGTTCTTACGTAAACGTCGTCTCCGGCGTTAACGTGGGCAACAACAATACCTGTCTCCTGTGCTTCTAGACCATTAACTGTCTGAAGATACAACGTACCGAATACGTCTTTGTTTATCAGTAGTTGAATTGAATGATCGCGAGATCCTCCCATTCGAAACGTCCATGTGAAGACATATACACCCGATTCAGGAACTATAAATAGCCCAGTCGATGGATGATAAGCATTTCCGATATTAGTTTTGACATCGTCAAAGACCAGCACCTGGTGTGTGTTTGGTGACGGTAACCAGGCTGACATGTATGCATAAAACGCTATAGAACCATGTGAAGTTGTTGGAGGGGAGAGTAGTCTTTCTGTAGAAGGAGACAATGAGACAATACTTGTTAAAATACATACATAATAGTTTTATGAAAAATGCTCTCGATATGAAGCTTTTTTATATAATTTTTTTATCAATATATTTCTTTTTTCCTGATTTTTAAAAAGAAAGGGATCATGCATTTTTCTTTAAATAAACGAAGTAGATACGGTTAGTAATATCTTTTATCTTACTCTGGATTCTCTCGACGTTCTTGTAGTTAGTTGATCTGTTGTCTTCTATAGCCTTTTCACAGGAAGAGTTCCTTTCTTCATCTCGTTTTTCAAATTTATTTTCCAGTTGAATAAGGCGCTTTTCTAATCGATTGATATACCTCCTATCGTCCTCCTTTTCCTGTTTTAGTTTATTAATTTCACGATTTTGGTCCATTATAACACCCTCAAATGTACGTAAGCGGGTGTCCAGATTGCTTATCGCTTGATAAAGTTCGTTTTTAATCCGCTCAAAATTTTCTTTGTCCTCATGTAGTTTGAGTTCTAGATCTTTATTTTGTTGTTTCAGGATGTACATCATGTCGTCTTTCTTGTCGCTCAGGTTGTTTGGAAGAGCATTTATGTTTTCAAATATATAGTCTTCCCCGTCGCTACTTTCAACACAAACCCTTTCAGGTAAAATAGCATTTAGGAGAAAGAATATAAGCCATGCTTTCATGATTGTTTTGTTTTCAATCACAAATGAAAGCAAAGTCAGATCCAGAGTAGTTTGCAAAATTCTCAACACTTATCTCTGTTCTACCTTATTCATATGTTACCGTTGTCATTGAAAATTGGCACAGTCGTCAAATTATCTTTAGTTATCTCAATTCATTCTGGAAAACATGAACTACAATGATTCTTATTCCTGTATTCCTTTTCAAAGTACATTGGATTTAGAAGGCCTAGAAGTAAGTCAGCTGACCTATTGTGTGAGTTTTCATCCGTTAGTATAGGTTTGGCATAAAAAGTAGCACTTTTGACATTTTATCTGGAAACACTAAACAAATCAGTTTCACCAAACATGCTGAAAAGCACCTTTTGGTGATTAATGTCCTTCTCGAAAGGGAAATAATTAAACTCCGCAAAGATAGGGTACGTTAATCTTAAGGATTGCCTCGAGAACTAAATAATTTACATGAATGTTTCTTAATATAAAAAAAACAAACCATAAAGCAGTTGTAGACTTAAGTCAAATTTACAGTAATTTATAGATTGAATATTTATTATAACCTGACGGTTGAAAATTAAAATTACTCACATAATAGGAAAACAGTTTTGAGAAAAATTTCGATTTTTATGTGTTATGCATAATAAACCTTTTAGCCTTTTAGACAATATGGCAATTTTGGCTTAAGTCAAAGACTTCGTGATCTTGAGGGCTGAAGATTTCATAAAAAATTAACTGATATTGTTAAATACTATCAAGATTATGCTAACCTACATGTTATGTTAATTCTGCATGTCCCAATTCTCTTTCATCGTTACCGACCATCGCCAAATTCTAGTTTTTTTATTCTTTTCATTTCCATCATACTTTTACAAAATTTCACAAATCCCCGACTGAAACTGACAACCGTAGAAAATTAGAGTTTTTGAAATAGTCAAGAAACGGGACGCTTGATAAGTTTCCTCAAGCATGAAGGAACAAGCTTAATGTGTAAAAGATAAAGATAACGAATAGTGATTAATCCCATCAATCCAGTTAACAAAACAAATCGCGAAAAAGGCAAAAACGCAGACCCTCGGAAACACCAGAGGTGGGATCGGGTGCCTAGAAGAAATAAGCATCCCCTGTTAAGGCAGGGGGAAATCTGACCGTATATCTACTGGGACTGCAGTATTTGCTATTAAGAGCACTTTTAGAAATTAGAAAACAAAGATCCCTTTTGCAGTAACATATCCATCACCGATTTTACTTTTTGCAAAGTCGCTTTCAAAGCATTTGAGATCAATTTCTTGTTACGGCATACATTGTCGCTGTGAAAATATTTGTCGACGATTAGTAAGATAAATCTACAGTTGTCTGTTACGTAGACATAAATGGTGCATCTATGCTCAAGCGTAGGTCTTAATCATTGAATCTGATTTTATCCTTCGTTTACACAAATTGAATATATGTCAATGTATTTAACATTGTTTGTGCTTAACAAAAATAGCGAAGTAGTTTTGAAGTAAGCAAACTAACGAATGTTGCATTTGCATTCATATGTTATGATGCATGCATATAATCTTTCAAAGTTTCCAACCTGCAAAAGATGATCTTCCATCAGAATCACTCTGGATAAAGCTTGCTCGCCATAATCCTGGCTATTTGAATCTTTTCCTAACATAAACATCTTCTCCAGTGGTAACCTGGGCAACAACTATTCCAGTCTCTTTTGCCTCCATGTTTAGCGTTGTTCGGTGATAAACAGAACCAAATTCTACTGTGTTTATCATAAGTGAAATGAATTGCCATTCAGGTGAAAACATAGACACCTTATTCAGGAGCAATAAATAATCCAGTTGAAGGATGGTATGCATTTCCAAGGCTTGTTTTCACTACGTCAAAGACCAATCCTTGGCGTGCACACGGGTGACTTAATATCGATGACATATGTGCATAAAATGCAATAATACCAGTTCCATTTGACCTTTTTTAGACAGATCTCTCTGTAAAAGTAAATTTTATAATTCGATATTAAAATAAAATATGCATGTTTATCTTTGAACTCATGCTTAAATTTTGCATTTTGCAAATTGTCTTCCCTTAAAGGGTTTTTATCACGTCTCAAAATTTTTTGATATGACAAAGTTTACATGCTATTAAATATCTATCATATCTATCATATATTTAAAAATCTTTGCTAGAAAATTAATATTTTTGATGTTTCAGCGATTCAAAGTTTGAATTTCTCAATATGCATATTTTGATCGCCGATGTTACGCACCATCGCTCTAACGTCATAGGTGTCAATCGTGGTCAAGCGAAGTTACTGTACTTATTGTGTATATAAAAGGGCTCTTTTGTGTTTTCTATTAAACCTGTTAGAAAATAATTAAGAGATAATTGGATAATTGACAGCTAGTAAGGTGTATAATTTAAAGTTTTAGGATGCACAAATGTGCACAAGAAAGGTTTTAGGAGGAACTTTTATTTCCACATTTCCTGGACTTGGTCGAGAGATGAAAGGGGGACCTTTTTCTGCAAACGCAATGGCGATTATCTCCATTCAGAACAATCGTTTATGCCCGATCGATCACAATTTTTTTCTGTCCTATAAAATATTTTTAGGAAAGATACCTTTTTAAAAAATAATAATAAATGACAAACACGCATTTTTTAAAAGTCGCACAGAATCTAGTAGGAATGTTATGAACTTCGTAATGGCGTACGGCGCCATTGAAAAAGTGTCATTTCTAGTACATGATATTCAGTGCTGGAACAGATAGAAGATATACAGGATTTATCGATATATAATTCATTAAAATAATAATGAAGGAAAATTTAAAATTCCCATATTGATAAATGTTTACGAGGTTAAACTTTAGTAATACGTTCTATTAAGTCGAAGTCCCGAGTTGACAACGGCTTCGTCTTCGGTGACCTCTCCAATTGTCGGCATGTATTTTCTGGTTATTTCTCTCTGCTAGACGTTCATATACACTGTATGGAAGATTGACCGTCCATAACCAAATAAATATAGCCGATGTCAAAATTTCAACCGGCCATATTGTGTATTCTATTTATTTAGCGTAATAATCTATTCAATATATTTTTTCTTACGATAAGCTTTACGAGTTCTATTGACCATTGACTCCTATGACGTTTCAGTACCACGTGACCCATTATCCAATTAGTGGAGATTCTTACTTCGAGGATCCTATTTTACGTGCGTTTTATCGTCTAATTACGGCCGTTTTCAACTTTATTTCATAATTTAACGATAATTATATGTTTCAAGAATATAATAGTTTTTCATTTTTAAGAAATATAGATACGTGATAAAAACCCTTTAATGCACGCAGAACAACATGAACTATAATGTTTCGTATAACCCGTTTCCAAATGTACATAGTACTATATGCTGGTCAGGTAAATTAAAATTAAACGACATTCAATATTATTTTAGGTCACCTGAATCACTCAGGTGACAATGAGTTTTCTTCCGCCGTTGTGCGTATATAAATACTTCTAAATCTTATTTTTTCTCAGGAAATACTGAACCACTTCCATTAAACTTGCTTCAAGGTACCTTTTGATGACAATGTTAGGTTGTTCATATGAAGAGCCTTTTACAAAAAGAGATAAATAAATTAAAAAATAGCAAAAATGGGATCTTGTAAAGAATTAGAAACTTGCAAGAAATCTGCTTGATTGAGGGAATATCAGAGTTCTTATGTTTGTCTCCGAACACAGAGAGCAGATATCTTTTAAACATTATCAAGAAACATGAAGCCAAAATTGGGTAAATTTACATACAACAATATGAAAGTTTTATGAATCATTAAGCATGAAGAAAGGAGGGGGTGAGATCTAGGGTGAAAAATATTACATAAATTTCAAAATATTCTCCCTTTACCTTCAAGTAATTTTGAAAAATCTTTGCGGCCCTTTGTTTACTGTTAATAATTTGTTGCTGATTAATTTTAAGCGTTTTTCTTCTCTCGTTCTAGAGAGCGAATTTCACCTGTGACACAGAACACAGCTTCTACCACCTGTGTCACAGAAAACAACAAATCTGACGTCACTTCTTAAAAGGGCCGATACTATAATTTAAAAAAAAACATATGGAAAGTGGTTTCCTTAGTACATTGTAAATGATTTCTAATATCAAAATGTGGACCGGTCACGGTAGCCTAGTGGTAGGGAGTTCACTTCGTTATCGGGAGGTCCGGGCTCGATTATCGTTCGCTGCGCCGCATCAAACCTGACAAAGGAAGTGACTGTTTCTTTGCCGAGCGCCCGGCATTAAAAGCCGTGGGTCTTTTGAATGAGACCTTAAAAACCGATATTCCGTGTCACGGTAGGCGTTCACACGATAAAGCACCCTCATTGCTCAATGACCCTGAGTGCAGAGGGGAGGAGGGCATAATTTGAATCCGCACTGCCTGAGGATATAACTAATACAAGTAATTGCCCTGCTGTTCTTCCGGACACTTTTGGACATTTTAACATAGAAATTCCATGTTAAACTTTGATTAACTTTGTTTTATAAGCACCACTTTACCCCCGGTGGTATAATTTGAACAAATCTGACAAAGAAAGCTTCAACATCAGCAAATGGCAATCCTAGGATTCCGCTTCGCTCCATACAAAGCTCGGTTGAAATTGGTGGAGGAATAGGCATCAAATCAATGTGTTTCTCCGCCGGAACTACTTTTAAACTCATTTCATATTTTGAAATGAATAAAGTTCACCACAAAAAAAATCTTCCATCTTGTCTAATACCTTCTTGTATATTTGTTTGATTGCAACCTTCTGTTAGTTGTTTTAAAAGCAGAAACATAGTGTTGGACATGTCACAAGTAAATCGGATTTCAAAGAAATAACATATGGAGGAATTTCGGATTCGATCACATAATTGTATAAACATAATGGTAGAATACCGGTCACGTCCAAAGTTAGTGTGCGAGGTACGAGCCAAGTGAGGAACTCCGATTGTCCACATAAGTGTCATCTTTTCTGGCCATTTGTTCTTAAGAGGAATATTTTAATTGATTCCACCCTTTCACTTCTAGTATTTCTTCACTACCTCCCCTTGAAAGAGGACTTGGCCCATTATTTGAACAAACTTGAACCCCCTTTATCAAAGGATGCTTTCTGGGAAGTTTGAATGATATTGTTTCAGTAATTCTGGATCGGAGAACAAGATGAAATTGTGAGAAGTTTACAGACGACAATCACAGACAACGAACAAATTTTCATTACAATAGCCCAGTAGAGCCTTTGGCTCTGCTGAACTAAAAACGAATCTGCTGTGATACTGTCCTTCATCATTCAAGATTTTCACTTCCAACCAGATATGTGGATGTTATGTAATGGCTGCACAATAATCTTTTTTCTCACGATTCTCTAATGAGCAGCAACAATCTAACTTTGAAATAACTTTGTCAATGAAAGTCGGAATTCTATTTTTTCAAACTTGAACATGCTGTACTTCTTTTATTAAGTTATACGAGAGAGAGAGAGAGGTCACACACTTAAAATTTTACGTTATATAGGCAAAATGATCTAATAATGCTTAAGCTAGGACTTCCATCACTCAATCTGATTTCAAATATTAAAGGATATTTATCAATTTGAAAAAAAAAAAAGGTTTTGAGATGAACAGATTGTTTTGCATTTATAGTTAATGATACATGCACATGTTTTTATTTTTAAAGTTTACATCCTGCAAAAGATGATCTCCCATCAGAATCACTTTGGATATAGTGTGAACTCCCATGAAAATATACTGATTTTATCCTCACATATACGAGGGTTGTCCGTAAAGTTCGTGGACAACATTGATAATTACTGACAATCATTGATAAAATATATGAAATCATTATTTTCATTAAATTCAGGTTTCAATTTATTAATTTGCAAGTTTTATTCACATACGAAGCACAAATAGTTATATTTTATCAGATACAAAATAGATACACACTCATACCCGGAGCACTAAAATGAAAATCCTTGACGTTACTCGACGTCAAAAGCTAAATACATTTAAGTTTTCTCAACGTAGTCACCGTTAAACTCAACACATTTCTTATGTCGCTTCAACCAGTCATCAAAAATGTGCACAAACTGTTCTGGTTTAATTTCATACGTGAAATTATAATATTTAGCAGTCTCAGATCCTGCAAATCATCAAACCTCTGTCCGCGTAAAACGACTGTATGTACGGAAATATGGCAAAGTCACGTTACGAACTTCATTTTTGACAGCACTACAATCTCGGAAAGATGGTCGTCCTTCACGCATGTCATCCAGTAAACGTCTCTTCCGTCCGAAAATCTTCTGTGCCACTTTAGCACTAAAGAATAGATTACTTTGCCATGATTTCCCGACTGTTTAAGGAATTTATGGGTCTCTGTTGGTGTTTTTCCGATGTCTACACAAAATTATATCACTACTCTCTGCTCCACCTTTTTCGAAAACGTCCCTTTTTCGAACAATGACGATCCTGTCTTCATAAACTCTGACCTCGATTTCTCTGCCATTTCGAAACTTTGAACGTTCAAATTTAACAGGTTTGACATAACTTTTGTCAACATTTTAATGTAAAAGCCATCCAAATTTCCGCGGAATTTTACAAAATACAAATGAAATGTATAAAGTGATAAATAACTTTTTAATTAAAACTTTGTTGTGCTCCAGGTCACCATCCCAAGTCTTATAATGAAGTCATAATTGTAATCATACACTTAAAATTGAATAAATTTTTTTTCATTTTGTAACTCACATGTACACATAATAAAGAATTATAAATATACTAATGATAAATATCTATGACGCAACTTTTATTTAAATATTAGCTTGTCCACGAACTTTACGGACAACCCTCGTACATTGTCTCCAGTGGTAACATGGGCAACAACAATTCCTGTCTCTTCTGCCTCAACAATATGCAGTGTGCGATGATAAACAGATCCATATTCAACTGTATTTATCATGAGTTGAACTGAGTGGCCATCACCATTCCCTGATCGAAAAGTCCAGGTAAACACATAGACACCTGATTCAGGAACAATAAAGACCCCAGTTGAAGAATGGTATGCATTTCCAATGTTGGTTCGAACTACATCAAAGACCAATACTAAGCGTGTACTTGGGTTCCAAATTCCGCGGAAATTTGGATGGCTTTTACATTAAAATGTTAAATGTACTTATGGTCCGTTACCACTCCTTTGAAAATATGGTGATTGTACCCTCTCTAATTTCCGAGATCCGCCCCTCAAGATTTTTACCCTATTGTATAATAATGTGTGGATAAACAGTGGGCTAGGAAATATAGAAGTCCCCCGCCCTGGGGTCTGAAAATTTCAGTGTAGGGTATTAGTAGTCTGATATCATTCCTATGAAAATATGGTGATGGTACCATCTCTAATTTCTGACCCTTAAGGTTTAACCCTACTGTATTATACTGTGTGAATACTAAGTAAACATCGGGCTAGGAAATATCAAGTCCCCTGCCCTGAGGTCTGAAAATATCAGGGTGGGGTACTTGTGTTCAGATACCACTCCTATGAAAATATTGTGATGGTTCCGTCTCTTGTTTCCGAGATCCGCCCCTCGGAAGTTTTTTACCCTACTGTATTATATCGTGTAAGTAAACAACGGGCTAGGAAATATAGAATTCCCCTGCCCACGGGATCTGAAAATTTCAGGGTGGGGTGCTAGTGGTCAGATACCATTCTTGCGAAAATATGGTGATGGTATCATCTCTAGTTTTGACATACTCTCCTCAAGTTTTTACCTCACTGTATTATATTATGTGAATAAAGATCGGGCTAGGAATTATCGAAGTCTCCTGCTCTGGGTCTGAAAATTTCAGGGTGGATTACTAGTGTTCAGATACCACTCCTATGAAAATATGGTGATTGTACCATTTCTAATTTCTGAAATCCGCCCCTCAAGATTTTAACTCTACTGCATTATACATGTTATACGGTGAGAATAAACATCGGGCTAGAAAATATTGAAGTTCCCTGCCCTGGGGTCTGAAAATTTCAGGGTGGGGTACTAGTGGTCAGATACCACTCCTTTGAAGATATGGTAATGGTATCATCTCTTGTTTCCGAGATCCGCTCCTCAAGATATTACCTCTACTATATTATACTGTGGGAATAAACATCGGGCTAGGATTCTATAGCTAAGTATCGAAGTCTCCTGCCCTGGGGTCTGAAAATGTCAGGGTTGGGTACTAGTGGTCAGATTCCCCTCCTATGAAGATGTGGTGATGATACCATTTCAGACCCCGGCAATCGGCAATCCTCGGATGATCCGCTATGTTCCATACAAACTTCGGATGTGATAAGTGGAGGAATATGCATTTCTCCGCCGGATCTGCTTTCAACTCATTTCATATTTCGCACTGCGCAAAGTTGACCCAAAAAAGTCCCCTATCTTGTTTAATGCTTTTTTGTACATTAGTGGTGGATCTCAAAAACTAGAGATGGCACCATTACCCTTTTTCACAGAAGTGGGAACTGACCACTAGTACCCTACCCTCGAAAACTGCGTTCTAGAATGCAGTTCGCTTTTGAATTGCGAATTGCGAACTGCATTCCAAAATCTGATTGCCGTTAACAACTATACCGAAGAGTTTATGTTTAAGTTTCATAACTCGACCATGCAATCATCCTATCATGGGAAGCAATGAATTATTCTTTCCTCTCACTTTGACTCATTAAACATTAACATATGCTGCAAAATGTCTCTTACTTTGAATTCTCTCAGCGTTGATATTGTCCATCAATAAGGATTTGGAGGCATTTACACGGGAACTATTTTCTGGGTCACATGGATTTTGAAACTGTGATACATGGATTTTTTCCACTTTTGCAAGTCGGTGTTTTAAATGGGTAATAAAACTTTTTTCTCCTACTGAACTTTTTCTCTGTATCATAAGATCACGTTCTTGACTCTTTGTAATATCCTCAAGTTTACGTACACGAGTTTCCAGAGCTTGTATTTTTCTACTATACTGGTCCTTCGTTTGCTTGAATTCTTTTTGATTCTGTAGAATCCGGAGTGCTAGATCTTCATTTCGTTCTTTCTGAATGTAGGTAAAATCCATTAGATCGTTTAAAGTGCGTTCAAGAACGTTTAATTTTGCAAGCACATCCTCATGGCTGTTAATTTGTTCTGCGAAAGTCAGAAATAGTAACAGAAAACTTATAATGAACAATTCCTTCATGACTGCTAAGAGTATTATGTCTGATTTCTGAAATTCAAACTTGAATGTGCTTAACGAATATTTTGCAAAGCTCTTTTATAAAAGTTGTCAGTTTTACCATCAGCAAATATGCATAATGTTTGCTACAACTGATTTAGTGGATCACAGAAACAGCTGCTCACACGAATTATTTTTATCTCCTCATGCTGTATTTTTAAATAATGTCTTAAAACGTGTTTACACAGGATATTATAACATGCATGGTAAGGCAATATGCGCTGCAGTTCTTGTGCCTGGTTTTTTATGCCCCGTATCGAAGATTCGGGGGTGTATAGTTTTTGCCCTGTCCGTCCGTCTGTCTAGCTGTCTGTCTGTTTGTCCGCAAAAACTTTAACATTGCTCATAACTTTTGATTGGTTGGAGCTTTGGCTTTTATATTTCACATGTTTATTCCTTGTGACAAGACCTTTCTTTGGGTACCACCATATTTGACCTTTTGACCTTGACCTTGGAGTTTGACCCAGTTTTACAAAATTTTTCCCAACTTTAACCTTGGCCAGAACTTTTGAACGGTTGGTGCTATGGCTTTTATACTTCATGTGTGTAATCCTTGTGACAAGACCTCCCTTTCGATACCAACAACTTTGACCTTTTGACTCTGACTTTGGAGTTTGACCTAATTTCGAAAAAACTTTAACATTGGCTATATCTTTTGAACGGTTGATACTAGGTCTTTCATACTTCACGTGTGCAATCCTTGTGACAAGGCCTTCTTTCGGATACCAACAACTTTGACCCTTTGACCTTGACCTACGAGTTTGACCTACTTTTGAAAAACTTCAACATTGGCCATATCTTTTAAACGATTGGTGCTAGGGCTTTCATTCTTCAGATATGTAATCCTTGTGACAAGCCCTTCCTTTGGATACCAATAACTTTGACCCTTTGACCTTGACCTTGGAGTTTGACCTACTTTTGAAAAAAAATAACCTTGGTCATATCTTTTGACATGTGTATTTCTTGTAAGAAGGTCTTCACCTAGGCACCATTTATTTTGACCCTGACCTTGATGTTTGGCTTACTTTTAAAACTTTAGCCTTTTCCATATCTTTTCAATGGTTGATGCTAGAGCTTTCATATTTCACAGGTATATTCCTCGGTACAAGACCTTACTTTGGGTACCCACATATTTGATTTGCATTTGAGAAAGTTTTACCTTCGCTATAAGTTGCCATAAGTGTTTCACAAATACATCTTGTTTTTCAAAGTGTCGATTCAAACTTTGTAAATGTGACCTTGAACTTGCCAAAAAATCTTGGTTAAAAAAATGAACATCCTCGGGTCATTATTAATTTTTAAGTAAAATAAGGATATGCAACGTTTCTCCATTAGAAAATCGTAGACCTGTTCTGAATTTTACACTTTTTATACCAGTGACTTGAACTTGCCGGAATGACTTTTGGCCAAGGTCATGTTACACCCTAAGGTCATAAACAATATCTGTACCAAGTGCGAGCTTCCAATGATTCTCCATTACAAAGTTATAGCCTAGACAAGAATTATATTTTTTCTGTGTAACCTTGAACTTGCCGGAATGACTTTGAGTTAAGGTTATGAGCTTCCAGTGATTCTCCATTACAAAATTATAGACCGGACAAGAATATTATATTTTTCTGCCAGTGATCTTGAACTTGCTGAAATGACCTTGGCTAAAGGTCATGACACATCCTTGGATCATAAGCAATATCTGTAACAAGTATAAGCCTCCAGTTATTCTTCATTACAAAGTCAAGTTATAGCCCAGACATGAATTATATACTTTTTCTGCCAGTGAGCTTGAACTTGTCGGAATGACCTTAGCTCAATATCATAATTAATTTGCGGGTAAAAAGCAATCTTTGTACCAAGTATGAGCTTCCAGTATGTCTCCATTACAAAGTTATACACCCAACAAGAATTGTATACATTTATGCCAGTGACCTTTAACTTGCCGAATTGATCTTGTGTCGAGATCACGATACACTTTTAAGTAAAGCAATCACTGCACCCAGTATGGGCTTCCAGTGTTTCTCCATTACAAAGTTATAGCCTGGACAAGAATGTTATACTTTTTCTTCTAGTGACCTTGAATTTGCCTGAATCACCTTGGGTCAAGATCACAGCACACTCTCGGGTCAAAAGCAATCCCTGTACCAAGTATGAGCTTCCAGAGATTCTCCATTACAAAGTAATTGCCTAGACAAGATAGCACGGACAGACGGACAGGCGTACAAATGAGAGATGCATTGTGCAAAAGAAAGCACTATAGGGTTACTTTCGGCAGCTAAGTCTATAATGGTTTGCATATGTCTAAATCATTTTCTATACATACAGACGGACAAGGTGATTCCTCTATACATGTACCTCCCCAAACTTCGTTTGCAGGGGGGGGGGGGTATGATAAAGCAACAAACACACAATGAAAACAGAAACAAAAAACTTCAGAAGATAGAAATTATGGAGGAAAGACTACTTTTTTAGAATATAAATATACATTTTATGCCCCCGTAATCGAAGATTCGAGGGCTAGTTTTTGCCCTGTCCGTCCGTCCGTCTGTCTGTCGGTTTGTTCGCAAAAACTTTGACCTTGTCTATAACTTTTGATTGGCTAGAGCTATGGATTTTATATTTCACAAGTGCGTTCCTTGTGACAAAACCTTTCTTTGGTCACCATCATATTTGAACTTTTGACCTTGGAGTTTGACCCTCTTTTGCAAACATTTATGAGACTTTAACCTTGACCATAACTTTTGAACAGTTGGTGCTAAGGCTTTCAAACTTCACATGTGTATTCTTTGTGACAAGACCTTCCTTTGGATACCAACGTCTTTGACTTTTTTTGTAGACCTTGGAGTTTGACCTACTTTAATTTAAAAAAAAAACATTAACCTTGGTCATAACTTTTGAACAGTACGTGCTAGGGTTTTCATACTTCACATGTTTATTTCTTGTGACAAGACCTTCCTATAGAAACCTTCCTTGTGGATTCCAACATCTTTGACCCATTTGACCTTGACCTTGGTGTTTGACCTACTTTAATTTTGAAAAAAAAAACTTTAACCTTGGTCATAACTTTTGAACAGTTAGTGCTAGAACTTTCATATTTCAAATGTATATTCCTTGTGAGAAGACCTTTCTTTGGATACCAACAATTTTGGCTCATTGAACTTGACCTTGGAGTTTGACCTACTTTATAAACTTTAACCTTGGCCATAACATTTGAACGTAAATTTTAAATACCTAAAGACTGATTATATGTCAGTATCATCATTACTAGGTAACGCAGTTCTTGTATCGACAAGTGCATAGTGTAATATAACTAATATTATATTATAGATCCCTGTCAGATTTCAATGAGAACGATAACATTTGACGTAAGATAAGAAATTAAACACAAGACTTTTAGTATTGATGCAGGATTGTCTCCTTGACTTCACCTCAGAATTTATATTGAAATCGAACAACAATTTTATTGTAGGAAACATGAAAAGATTCTTCAGAATATTTTTTATAGTTTCTTTTTCACCATTATGGACATGTGCTAAAGTGCATGATGGACTTGATCCTATTGAGGAAAAACTAAAAGTCCTTCAAAACATCGTAGATGAGTTGATGGACTTTAAATATACTCAACAACAACAGTATGATAATCTTAAACTAGAGCTTTTGGAAAATAAAGAAGAATTTAATAGGATGAAGATACAGTATACAAGAAGAATATACGCGTTGGAAACTCGTACCCGTAAACTTGAGGATATATCAAAGAACCAAGAACGTGATATTAGAATGCTTAGAAAAAGTGATGTGAAAAACAAGGACCATATCTATCATTTAGAAAACCTTTTTACACAAATGGAGAAGGAATGTGTGCACAAACCTGATCAACCAGGTGATAGTAGAAATTGTTCCGTTGAAAATAAGGCAAAACATAATTCAAGATCCACAAAGAACCACACAACTGAGAGAATTCAAAGTAAGACAAAAATGTAAAGCTAACATTGATATTCTTAATCGTATTTCTCATACTTTATTGTGAATAAAGTGACAATACACAATATAACTTTAACTTTCACACTTGGGAAATAATCTAAACTCATTCCAATTACAGAAAGACTTATTTTGCCTTCAAACACTGTCCATGGTGTTATTGCATTTTATGCCTACATGTCAGCCATATTACAGTCGCCAAGTACCGGTACTCACTACGTTTTGGTCTTTGACATTGTAAAAACCAACATTGGAAACGCCTACCATCCTACAACAGGAGTGTTCATGGTTCCCGAGTCGGGTGTCTATGTTTTTACTTGGACCATTCGATCTGGTGGCGACGATACCCATTCCGTTGAACTAATGATAAATACCGAAGGATTTGGCACCATTTACCTCCAGACATTAAACGCAGAGACAGAAGTGACTGGAATTGTTGTGGCACATGTTAACGTTGGCGACGACGTTTACGTAAGAACACGTGTATCACGTCAATCTGGGACGTCGCATTACATATTAAGTGATGCCGAAGGAAGATCGTCCTTTGCAGGATGGAAACTTTTTTGAAATTACTTATAATATATTTGTAGAACATTTTTGAAAAAGTTTTTAACAATATCAAAATGCAACTATTGATGTAATGGTTAAATAAATTTATTAAAAAAAAAAAAAAAAAAAAAAAAAAAAAAAAAAAGAAGGGCTGGTTAATTAATCTACAAGGTAATTATACACGAAGGGCTGGTTAATTGCTCTATCATCTTTTCAACGCCAATGCCATGAATTTTTATATGCAAGCAACATATTTGACAATTTCGTTACACATACACACCCCCTCTCTCTCTCTCTCACACACACACAATTACACTTGATCACATGAATATAAGGTTTGCAAACAGAAATGGTGAGAATCTTTGCATTGCTTTCTTTTGGGGGAAATACTTGAATTAGCAGAATGGAAGATCTGGAAAATGCTTACAGCTACGAGTGTATGAAAATCAAATTCATTTTGTGGATTTAGAAACTATTACCGGGTAGGCATGTCATTTCTGTGGAAAATTCCGTCGCCCAAAAACTATTCTATGGTAAAAACAAAAAGTGCATTTATTATTTAGTGGTTTCTGTGGGGATTGAACCCAAGCAACAAGAATCCTGAGTATAAGTTTCTCATTGAGATTGGGAAGTTAACCACTAAACCACATACCGGCATACCAGTCTAGTCGAACTCCAAAAACAGCGTGAACTCCGAAAACGAAGTCTTTGGCTCCATCATGCATTGCGGCAAAATGGCGTCCGATGTAAACAAACGATGGATTGTCGTTCGCTTTCTCCAAATATATGACTGTGATTAGTGCATATGTGACTTTATTTTAAATTTTTGTTGAATGGATAATTGCATTTATTAAATTATTTTGTGGATATTGACTTATTTAGCGCTTCAAACTCTTGCATAATAGTAAATTGGATGTACGACATGGAATTCAATACTGCCGGTAAGAATTATTTTCTTATTTGATTTATTGTCTCCTCGATTTGAATTTTATGTCGTTTCTACAATAAAGGTACTTTTATTTATTTTTGAAAACACCCAGCTTGTATTTATTTTAATCAGAAAATGCATATTTTTCACCACGGATCAGAGCTATTCACAGGTTCATTTTTAGAAGACGTGTTGTGACCTTAATTTCTAGAAGAGTGGTTTTTGAAGTTTCATATTGATAGATAATAGTTTTAAAATGTTTTCATAATAATATCTGTTTGTTTGTGATAAAAAATTGGTAAATAACGATGGTAAGAACTTACGCGTTCAATTCAACTGTCGTACACAAATAAAAAACCGGACTGCTAATTTATGTGTAAAATTCAGTCAAGTTTTCAACAGTTACAATATATATTGTCCCATTTTGCAGATATATGCCTTTTATTATGCATATTTACTTCTCAAACGTATCATTTTCTCTGTAATTGATCTGTCTTTAAACGTCAACTTTGGAAGTAAATATCTCCTTTTTTGCAAATAAAATCAAAAATCTGACAAATACGATCTCTTCGGAAGTCTTTTATTTAGCATTTCTGAGTACTGGCATAATTGCCATACTTTCCAAAACTTTGCACGGAGAATTTTTGTAGACCTATCATTTTTGCCGAAAAATCGCCATTTTTTGTGTGTGTGCGCATGCGCGGACTCTATTTTCGGAGTCTTTTTCAGTCTCAATTTCTTACTTCCGGAAACGCTGTTTTTGGAGTTCGTGTAGACTGCATACTGGTACCTCAAAACTTGTTTGTGATATGACCCTTGAACAGGTCTGGACGATTTCCAAATATGGAAGTCAAGACCGATAACTGAAAGTTGCTATATAAATATACATCATATACACGTAAATATTTTTCTGCCCAATCAGACAACAGCATTTTTACACACCCCAAAAGATATTTCAAAGGAACAAAAAGAGAAAACGTGCTTTTGTTTTTTTTTTCCCTTTTTTCAGTTTTTTGACAAAAAATCTTTAGAGGTAAGATGAAAAGTTTGGAAGAATAAGGTATTTCCCACATATTTACATTGAACAAACATGACATTTTCATCTCAGTTAAAGAAAAAAAAAAATAATATATGTAACAATGCGATCGTTTATGGAGGAATAGATCATATCGTCAAGCTATTATCAAGTACAATTATAACATTTACCAGAACTTACTCTATGTTGGTAAATATAATTTTGCTTAGCCGTCCGATTTTCATCGATAACGCGTAGTTTCCATGCGTACAGATCTACTGCACACAAGACTGTATTCATCGTATAGACTACATGTAGTTTTAAAATAACACGGGTTTCATGAGCGCCGCATACCATGTTATATACACTTTAAATGGACATAAGGAAAGGTGAAAAACATGGAGAAAAGGGAATGTACATGAATTCTTTTTATTACCATATCATACCTCGCATACCAGAAACTGCATGGACGATTTGGTACAATGTAATAAACACTCAGGAAATAATTAATACTGTTCCTGTACGAAAACATTTTCAAGTTAGGCTCTAAAAACTGAAAATCTGCCGTATTTATATCAAATTTCTTCACACAAGTTAAACTTTTGGGGTTGCTATCTGATAGTGACAGACTTTTAATCCCACTTAGAATTTGTTCTAAGCTTTCAGTCGTGTTTGTTCGCGGTAGAATTGTCATATATACTATATCATTCCTAAATGTGCATAAAGTTTACAAAAAGTTTGTTATAAAAAAGTCTTATGAGCAAAAAACTTTAAAACCACGTGTTTTATTTATTTTCTCATGGGTTTTCTAAATGCAGTTATTTGATTGGTCAGAAGGATTAGCACCTTGTTTATTCTGTGTATTTATAGCAATTCACGGTTATCGTTCTTGACGTCCATATTTGGAAATCGTCCAGACCTGTTGAATATATTGCATGAAATTGTACACCATTATTTTGGGCTTAACAAAAACAAGAAATAAGGACCCATTATACCTTGAAGGAAAAAAAACATGACAAATATTCACATCTTTTTAAACCGTTCACAATCAAGCAATTTAAATATTAGTTTGAGACCTTGAGCAACTGAAAGGGGCGTCATTTGTTTATTTCAAGCCACATCCTTAAAATTGTGTATTGTAACCTTTCTGTGTTCACATTTTTTCTCAAAATTTAATTCCTCTAAAATTTCCCTTTGTTGCATAGTCAAAAGGATTCAAACTTTTATAACAAATATTACAGATCATACAGTAACATTATATTCAATCTGTCTCAAAAGTGCAGCTAATAATTAAATCATAAAACATGTGTAAATTGTAAAATTTCTTTATTTTGCTTTTTTTCATCAAGATTTATCTAAATAACTTAGGTCTAGCTGTTTAAAGTTTGTTTGTTGTTCAAACCACTTGGCCACTGTCAATACTTGTCTGTCATGAAAGTTGGGCCCTACAAACTGAAGACCAATAGGAAGCCCTGAATGTGAAAGTGAGGCTGGCACAGTAATTGCTGGAACACCTGTACACAAAGGGATAAATGCTAGATAAATTTACTACTTAAAGTGCATCACTTTAAAAACTTACTTAAAGATAAATTGTAAGAAATAATGTCCATAGATGTAAAATTATTGAAAGTTAATTTTCAAACTATATACATGTACATGTATCTTTATCTTTACAGTCATGAAATTTTGAATGAAAAATTTAAAAGATGGCCCAGGCTATTTAAAATTTACAAAGCAATTAAGATACACATAAATAATAATGATACAGAAAAGTCCCAGTAAAAAATACAAAACATTGAAGTTGACAAAAATACATGTAAGTCATGTTTCTTTCTGTACCTGCCATGTTGATAGGTTGAGTGAAGACGTCTTGTTCCTCTGCCCTGGTGCGATTGTCCTCCTCTGTAAACCAGGTGTAAGATGGAGCCTCCGTAAGAGTTGTGGGGGTCAGGAGTATATCCACCCCTCCCTTAAACACATTTCTGAAGTCATCTGCAATCAGTCTTCTTACTTTCTGGGCTTTTATGAAGAAGTTGTCATAATTTCTACAAATAAAGGTTGTTTCCACGCAACTTTACTCTAATGATAAAAGATACAGCCATAAACTTGTCATAAAATTTGAGTTTACACATGTACTTGTAACAGTGATATTAAAGTATTTTAAATTCACAATTATAAGGTATCGTTGCGTAACTTGAAACATGTATAAAATTCATTCTGACACAGTTTTATGATGTACAAGATCTCAAAAAGATTGGACTTCATTTTTCTGACCTTTGACCAGTGTTTGAAACTTGGTCACCATAAAATTAGCTATAGACACACAGAGGTGCTGACTATTCAAAGTTGTCAGCACTGCATAAGATTTACTAGCCCATGAAAATAATTTTCCCTTTTCTTTAATTATTTTTATTACATATATAAAACCATATGTTAGGTAGTCAGTCTTGCAGCTGGCAAGAGTTGTTCAAAGGACGTTTTTTTTTTTTTGTACAATCAGTCAATATTTATTGTAAATTTTTTATTACGGTAGTGGGAATTTTAATGCAAGGCATTGATACAAGCAATTTTGACTGCTGCAACAGAAATTGTGCATCTTGGGCAGTCAGGTGCATGTTACTTCAAACGCTGCCTTTGGTATACTGTAAGCCAATTTTATTCACAATATATCTGTTTTGTGTCCTTCATTTACTTGAGAATATTTTTCAACATGAACACCTTATCAATTGTGTATTTACATAGAATGTTTCCTCATTTGCAAATATTAATACTGTATACAGGGTTATTTTTGCACCATGTTTTTTTCCCTTGCAAACAATTTTGTCCCATTTTAAATTCACCCATTCACAGAATTATACTGTCTTCTTACAATCTGCCCCATATTAAATTCAAACATTTGTGTCTAGGGTAAAATGGGCGAAAATAAAACAAAGGCAAACATTTCCTTGTATACAGTAGTAGCAGATGCATTTAAAAGTGACAAATCTTGAATATAATTGTCCCAAAATAGTTGGTTTACAATAAATGATATTTTTTTTTATTTACCTCCTAAGTAAGAAGAAGTTTCCTGCAAAAATTCTTCCTCGGACAACATCGTTGAACCCTTCATGTCTGGTGGCTGCATACAGTTCTTCTGTGGAATCCTCAATTTTTGCTCTGTGACCTGAATAAAGTTCATTATTTCTCCTTAGATCCATATTTCAATCATTGTACCTACACTTGTTCTAATTGTTAAACTTGCAAAATTTGGTACATTTTCAAAAAATTCATTCTAAAGTGAATTTTAGTGTCTATACAGTTTAGTTTACAAGTTAATTTCCATGAATTTTAGTTGAAATAAAGTCCAAAATGTTTCTTCAAAAATGTGTTTTTCTTTTCTTTTTTATTTTGTTTAGACAAAAAAAAACGCAATTTATTTCTTGTATTAGGTTACATAGAAATTCATGGTCATACCATATTCTATTCCATCATATCTTGACATGTTAGATGCCACCTCAGCACAACACAGGACTCCGTAACAGATAATGGAGTACTGAGTGTGGGGGAGGGAAACTTGGGAGACTTTGGCACCAGCATTTTCAAACATGTCCGCTGCTCGTCTCCAGGCATCTAAGACACATGGGGACAGCCCAGGTGCGTGGTACTCCTAGTTTAATTTCAAAAATATACATTGTCAAATAAACAACAAAAGATGTAAATCACAATATTTTACCTCTTGATCTTCG